CGAGGTGGGGAGTTTGGAGGTGATAAGCATGCATCTCACTTTATCTAAGAGTGTTCTATTCTTTCTCTCAACCACACCATTCTGTTGAGGGGTGTGTTTCACAGTTCTATGCCCTACAATCCCTTCATCGTTGCAGAACTTATCAAACTCTTGGTTGTAGTATTCTAACCCATTGTCAGTCTTGAGAACCTTAACCCTCTTATTCATTTGGTTTTCAACTAAGAGTTTCCATTCCCTAAACTTTTCTAAGGCATGATCCTTAGTCTTTAACAGGTAAACCCAAACTTTTCTGTTGTAGTCATCAACTAAGGACATAAAGTAGTTGTTTCCCCTATAGGTTCTAATCCTCCCAGGTCCCCACAGGTCAGAGTGGATGTACTCAAGTGGACTAGTGGCTTGGTGTACCCCTTTTTGGAAACTGTTTCTATGTTGTTTTCCTAGTATACAGTTCTCACAGAAATCTAGAGAAGATATCTTGTACTTACCAAACTGACCCTGACTGTTCAGGGTGTCCATGCCTCTTTGGCTTATGTGACCTAGTCTAAGGTGCCATTTTTTAGTGTTGGAAAGATTGACAGGCTTAGTCACAGAATTCAAACAGTTAGAGGATATGTTCCCACAAAGTATATAGAGCCCATTCTTTTTCTCTCTTGTCAGGATAAGGTTCCTATTTTTGTATATGTTCAAGCTACCATTCTCAGCCTTATAACTACAGCCTATTTCATCTAGGGTGCCTAGAGATATCAGGTTTCTTTTTAGTTCAGGGATATACCTGACTCTAGTGAGTTTGACCAACTTTCCAGTGTTAAGACTTAGAGTTATAGAGCCAATACCTCTAACCCTACATGCATTATTGTTCCCCATGTAAATAGTTTCAGAGTCAGTATCCTCAAACTCCTGGAACCAATTTCTGTTTGGACTCATATGGAAAGAACATCCTGAGTCCAGTACCCATTCATTGGCAGTGTCAGACATTGACACTATAAGCACCTCAGGTTCATCTACTAGGTTTGTACTAGTGGCTAGGTTTGTCTCTGTGTTCCCTTGTTTTTGTTTGATCCATTCAAAACAGTTCTTTTTAATATGGCCAGCCTTATTACAGAAAAAACATTTTCTAGTTTCTTTACTCTTGTAATTACCCTTCCATTTTTTCTTGTTTCTATTCCCCTGATTCACAGAATTGTTTCTCCCTGTTTGACTAGACTCCACTTTTGTTTTAACAAACAGGTTAGACCCACTCCTTTTCTGGACTTTCAACTCGAACTCCCTAGCCCTAAGCCCTGCAACTATTAGATCTAGGGTTGGTACAGTACCAGTGTACTGTAATGCATTTTTGACTACTTGGTAGTCATCAGGCAGAGAGTTCAAGAGGATCATGGCAAGGCTAGTACTGCCTAATTCTTGATCTGTTCCTTTAAGGATCAGAGTCATTTTAATAAACTCATCTAGGTTGTCCTCTATACTCCTAGAACTATCCATTTTGTAAGAAAATAAAGTAACCTTCAAGAAAGCTAAATTTGGAGCTGATTGTAAAGCATACAAAGTATTGAGTTTATTCCACAATTCTAATGGTGATTCGATACCATCTACCTTTCTGAGGACACTGTCTGAAAAATTCAGAATGATCAGATTGTAAGCTCTTCATTGACCTCCTCCTTCTTCATCAGTTTTGCTTCTGGCCATTTCTTGATGTCTTCTTCCAGTGTAACTACAACCTTGTTGTGTGAGATGAGAGCTTTCATTTTCTTCTACCAACTCCTGAAATCGATCTTCCCATCATATTGGGAGATCTCCATGCGAGTAGTACTCATTTTCCTGAAACGATAGAAAGAAAGGGTCTAAGAGGTACGTGGCGTTGTTACACCAAATGTTGCCAAATACTGCCAGATAGTTTTTAAGGCGGTCACTAGTTTCCAGCCTTTATACCTTTACACTTAGCCTAGATTTGACTCCCTAAAACCTATTGGAAACTCAATGAATCACATATTCGAAAAAGCCCCAAATATTTCAGAAACCCTAATTTTACAAAACCCTAATTTTCAAAATCCCCAAAATTGCAAAACCCTAATTTTGCAAAGAAACTTAGCCTTCGAGAAATGGCTCTGATACCACTGTTGTAACTACTCGAACAGATCAACCAGAAAGCAAACACAAAATCACAAAAGGATTCACACACACACACAACAACAACAAGATTTACCGTGGTTCACTTGCTCGGATATGAGCAAGCTACGTCCACGTTGGGCTCGGGAAACCAGCGAGCTCACTGCACTATATTGATTCAGATTATAGAAACACAACTCAACTAAGAATCAAACCCTTACACAGATCTTTCCAAAACTCGTAACACCTTAGAGAAACAGATCTAACACCCAAGATATACTGCAAACTCTAGTACCCTCAAATGGCCTGCAAACCAGCTACTCAAACACCCTGTTACAGATTCAAGATCAAGACTGTACCCAAACCCTAATAGAGGCTATTGTTTTACAAAGAAAATAGAAAAACACGAAAGAAGGGTTTCAACTGTTGAGAAGAGACTGTTGCAATGCTTTTATACTGTTGACTATTAGACTGATTTTCCACCGTTGGATGCTCAGCCAACCAATGGATAGGATTTGTCTTTGCTTGGCTCAAAACGACGTCGTCTCACTTAATAATAAAACGTCACCGTATGAGCCCAACACTCTAACAGTGGTATAAATGATATGAGAAGGAAAGAGGTAACAAACTGTCAGTAAGCCATATAGACATTGACGCATGCCCAAGGTATTAATATGAGTACTAAACAAATTCACTCATAAGGAGTATGTGTACTTTGCATTTGGCGCAATGCTTAATGACAAGTTCTTACATTTGTTACTTAAATGGTTTACATTGGGACAATTGCTTTGGGGCCAGAATTATATATTTGGAAATAACAGGATGGAGAGGTACAAATTTTTTTGAAATTTCTTGCGGTAAAATCTCGCTGTTGGATATATGGACTCCAAAATTCAGCTCTGGGTTGCTTAGGCTTCAAAACTTGTAAGCGATTTTCATGATCATGATCATTATTGATTATCCCTCGACTCTTAATAAATTGATGTTAAACATAACTGTTATATTCTGAATGCAGGTCAGGAATTTGGATGGTCATCGCAGAAAAGTAACAACTCTATGGTGAAGCTATCAGAATAGTCACATTTTAACATGATAGTACCTTCATTTCATTATCTCTTTCATGCATCATGCATATATGTTTAAAATCCATACTAATATTGGCAATCAGTGGACTATTACGAGGAGAGCTAACGTTTGTCGTTAGCACTCTTACGTCGTGAAATATATAAAGAATTTAAATTTACCGATGATTTACAAAAACATCTAAAATATGTAATTAATTACATTGAAACTAAACAACCTATAAATTTGGTTCATTACAAAACTAATGAAAACGATATATATATTTACAATTAGTTGATGTTGATAAATGCAATATTATTGATAAAAAGCTAATGTTTGATGGGGGCAAGTTTGAACTAATTAAATTATCTTGTTTTGAGTAATAATTGTTAGGGCCAAAAAAGGTCCTTGGCCCAAATAGGAAAACGTGGCCGACAGTGAGGAAGAAGTCAAGCCTAATCCCGACGTGACCCAATCCAGATTAGGCCCATTTGGTACAAGGTACAGCCGGCCAAAACAATCCGGGCACAAGCCTCATAATCCCAGTTCACTTCCTGGATCCATGAGCAAATCCAGAGCCTACGACCCTCACATATCACTTTCCTATTCCTAATCAATCTCCTATTCGAGGTCACCTTCCTGTTCAGATCACTTTCCTACTCGAAGTTACTTTCCTGATCAGGATCACCTTCCTATCCGGACACTAGTAAGACAACTCACCACCGCCCAAACTCTAGGTTGTATCAGAATTACACTAGGACTCCTACTTCTATCAGGATTAGGAGACCAGACAGTCACTATATAAGTAGAGGCCAGCCCTCTCACAAGGGACATTACATTACACTTCCACACCCAAAGCTCTGACTTAAGAGCTTCATATCACTGCCGTAGTACAGTCCCTAACTAGACTTCCGGTAACCTCTCTACTCCCTAGCCCTTACTATACTAGCCTCTTTCAGCCTTACTGACTTGAGCGTCGGAGTGCCTACGGCAAACACCACTCCGGTGTTTCCCGTTTGCTTCACGCATTTGTTTCTCTACGTGTGCAGGTGCAACAAATTGCTAGTGGCCTCAACCTCACAGGATCAGACCCCCTCTTTCATACAGGTAGATTTTTACATCTACAGTTTGGCGACCACCATGGGGCCTCTAGCAATCAATCGGCTCGACGAACCTTGCTATGTAGAGGAGCATTCCATTGCTAACAATTCGGATAACGCCAACCCTGGCCTCGAGGCCAGACTAGAGGCTTTGACCGCTCTCATGCAATAAAACTCAGAAAAGGTGGCCACACTGGAAGCCGAGAACAACGCAATCCAGACCGAAAACGTATCCATCAGGGTAGAAAACCAGTCTCTTAAAGAGAAGGTGAGTCAATTATATGATCTAGAGTTTCTGCCTGGCTAGGTACCTCCCAATCGGTTCCGCGCCCTTGTTCCAACCATGCAACCTCTCCACACACCAGAGCACCGACCCTTGGTCTCCAATAAAAGGCCGTTTCCATTAAGCTCATCGGCAGTCGAAGATTTTGTCCTGACTCATGGAGATAAAGATATGCCAATAGAACACCATTCACCCGATCTATCCTAGCCTCGAGATCAAGATGATCCAGTGACTGAAAGCCCACACCCGCAAGACCAGCTCATTGTTAAGATCCCACCTCACCTCCAGTCAACCGTCCTAACACAAACCCCATTCGGCTTGGCTCACCCTTACAGGTTGAACGGCCAAACCAAACAAACCTCAACACTCGAGCCCATCCATCCTAACGGAACGAGTGACTACCAGACGACTCCTCTTACTATTCATGTAGGCGAAACACCAGAACAGTTACCATGGGAGTTATCCAACTAGAAGGAATGAATGAAGATCCATGCTACCAGGGAGGACAGGAAGGAATGACTCATCAGACTACCCCACAAGGGATGACCCAATGGAATGTGCTGAGGACAAATGCAATGGCAGACCCAGTCAGATGGGATGACCTAGTAGTATCCCCTTCTCCTATGAAACAGGTACTGGCCAAGAGGCTGGTCGATGTGGAGGCAGTGATGAGACGCATCCCAGGAATGCCAGTCCCAACCAAGAAGAGCAGGCCCCACTACTACGCGGATTCACCCTTTGTGGATGAGATCGCCCTAGCTGACATGCCACAGAAGTTTACCATCCCCAACATGAAACTATACAATGGCATAACCGACCCGGACGATCACATAGCCTCGTACAAGCAGCGGATGTTCACTGTCTCAATACCCCGATCGCTGAAGGAAGCCTGCATGTGCAAAATTTTCGGTTTAAGCTTATCTAGCCTGGCACTCCAATGGTACATGAACCTCCCGAATGGATCCATCGACTCATTCGCTCAACTCACTGACACCTTCGTGGAACAGTTCGCCAGAAGCAAGAAACTCAAGAACCTGTCGACCGACCTATATAGAGTATACCAGAGAAAGGGAGAGCCACTGAGAGAGTATGTCAGCAGGTTCAACAAAGAGAAGATCTCCATCCCATCATGTAACCTCGAGACAACCATGGACGCCTTCAGGAAAGGTCTCCTCTCGGACGGAGAACTATACAAAGAACTTACAAAGCTAGGTTGCATGACAATGGAAGATGCTCTGGCCCAGGCAGTGATCCAAATAAGATGGGAGGAAGATGAGATAAACCAAACAACTCACTCAAGGTACGACTCGAGGCAGAATGAAAGGAAGCCAGAGCATAGACTGGTGGAGCACCGCTACCAATCCCTAGCACATAATACAAGCAGAGTCAGAAAATCGTATGATCGCCAGCTAACGAGAACTGATAATAGACAGTTCGAATTGAACCGGTACAAAATACTGGAGTACAACCTCAACGTCGAACCAACCCAGGTCGTCACAATTATGAAAGGAATGAGATACACCGTCAAGTGGTCAAGCAAGCTCAATCCCGAGGCAAGGAGAGACACGACCAACTGGTACGAGTTCCATGGTGACCATGGGCACAACACCGCAGACTATATTGCCTTGCGACTAGAGGTGGCCGTACTTCTAAAAAGGGGACATCTCTGAGATCTGATAACAGATAAAGGGAAGAACACCATTAGCCAAAAATGCTCAAAGGAACCATCACCACCTCCACGGGAACCTACACCAAAAGGGTTTTGTTCGCTCATCTCCGAAGGATCAGAGATTAGTAGGGTAAGTTACTCATCAGCCAAGCGATATGCCAGAGCCAACCACCACCATGAAGTCTAGTCCGTCTATCCAGTTTCACGCTCACACACCCATCAGGTAATTCAGTTTAAAGATGACGAGCCGGTCACCTTGGCCGCTCCTCATCACGATGCTCTAGTCGTCTCTCTACAGATCGCCAACATCCTAGTCAAGAGAGTATTCGTAGATGGAGGCTTTTCAGCAAACATCCTGTTCCTTGAAGCAGTGAAGGCTATGGGACTGGAAAAAGCAAACATCAACAAACGGCCGATGCTGCTGGTTAGGTTCAGTTCTGAGCAAAAGTGCACTATTAGGGAGATCATCCTTCCTATCTACGCCGGCAGACTAAACAAATAGACCGTCTTTCTAGTGATCGACTACCCCTCTCCTTACAACGTCATCTTGGGCCGACCCTAGATCCACGACATGTGTGCAGTCCCATTTGCCTTCCACCAGGCGATCAGGTTTCCAACCAAGTGGGACGTACGAGAGATCAACGGCGACCCCAAAGCTTTCAGAGATTGCTACAAGAACGCCTTCAAGGGTAAGGGTAACTCTTCATAGCAATTACAGTCTCATCCAACCCCTCTGACCAAGCCAAATTAGCCATCAATGGAAGAGTTGGATTAAGTACAGATACATCCAGACGACCCCGAGAGAAAAACACATATAGGGTCCCGCCTCAAGCCTGAAACAAGAGACAAGCCGATAGAATTCCTCAAACAGAACCAAGACTATTTCGCCTGGTCCTGCGCCAACATGATCGGAATAAGTCCAGACGCAATGGTCCACCAGCTCAAGGTAGAGTCGGATCACCCATCAGTGAAGCAGAGAAAGAGGAAATTCGCACCAGAGCGGAACCGGATCGTCAATGAAGAGATTGAAAAACTCTTGAGCAATGGCATGATCAGAGAGGTCCACTACCCCGAATGGCTGGCAAACGTCGTGGTCGTAAAGAAAAAGAATAGGAAGTAGAGAGTCTGCATCGACTTCACTGACTTGAACAAAGCTTGCCCCAAGGATTCTTTCCTGCTCCCATATATTGACATGATGGTAGATGCGATTGTAGGTCATGACCTCCTTAGTTTCATGGACGCCTTCTCAGGGTACAACCAGATCTTGATGCACCCGGACGACCAAGAGAAGATAACCTTCATCACAAAGAGGGGAACCTACTGCTATAAGGTAATGCCATTCGGTCTTAAGAACACCGAGGCCACCTACCAGCAACTAGTCAACAAGATGTTCTTTGAGTACTTAGGAGACACTATGGGGGTTTACATCGACGACATGCTCGTCAAGTCCCTGATAGCTGAACAATACCTAGACCACCTTAGCCAGACATTCGCCATCCTTAGGAAGTACAACATGAAGCCGAATCCAGCCAAGTGCTCATTCGGCGTCTCATCGGGTAAATTCTTGGGCTATATGGTTACTTAGCGAGGGATAGAAGCCAACCCCGACCAGATCAGAGTGATCCTTAGCATACCATCTCCGACCTGCATCAAAGACATCTAGCACTTGACAGGACGAGTGGCTGCCTTGAGCCGCTTCATCTCTAGATCAGCCGACAAGTGCCACCTCTTCTTCCATGCTTTCAAGAAGTCTAAGAAGTTCGAGTGGACCCCCCTCCTATGAAGAATCCCTACAACAGCTGAAGAGGTATCTGACCTCCCCTTCGCTTTTTTCCAAACCTGTGGACGAGGAGAAGCTCTACTCTTACCTAGCGATCTCATAGACAACCATCTCAGCAGTACTAGTTCGAGAAGAAGAAACGAAGCAGTTACCAGTCTACTATGTAAGCAAGTCACTCCTCGACGCAGAAACTCAGTACAGTCAGCTGGAGAAATTGGCCCTCATCCTCATCCATGTATCTAGGAAGCTCAGGCCGTACTTTCAGTGCCACTCCATAGTTGTAATCACCTCCTTCCCACTCAAGAAGATACTGCACAAACTAGAGCTATCAGGCCGACTCATGCAGTGGACAGTAGAGCTCAATAAGTTTGACATATCTTACCAACCTTGCACCGCCATCAAGTCCCAGGCGCTAGCAGACTTCATTGTTGACTTCACACCAAGCACCACCACCCAAGCATAAAGGGAGTTGTTATGCATGAACGGTGGATCACCCTCCAAGTGGACTCTCCTAGTGGATGACTCGAGTAACATGAATGGAAGCAAACTCGGAATAGTACTGATTACACCAGGGGGAGACATCATCCAGCGGGCAATCCAGTGTGGGTTCAAGTGCAAGAACAACGAGGCCAAATATGAGGCCCTCATCGCTGGACTTTCCTTAACCAAAGAAATTGGAGCGAAGAGACTGGAGGTGAAGTCTGATTCCTAGCTCGTTGTCAATCAACTACAAGGCACATATCAAGCATGTGACTTGAAGATGACATCCTACTTGAGCATGGTCAAAGAGCTGTAGGCCCAATTCGAGGAGTTCTCCATCATCCAAGTCCCCAAAGCTGAGAACTCTCACATTGACGCCCTTGCCAACCTTGGCTCGGCACTCAAATGTTCTTCCCAGTCATCCATCCCTCTCTTATTCATGCACTGGCCAACCAACTGGAAAGATCAACCACCAAACAAGTCGCTCGAAGAAGCCATGGGTGTTGAACAAGCTGACTGCTAGATGACTCCGATAGTGAGATACTTAGAAAATGACGAACTCCCAGCTGATAAGAACGAAACATGCCGACTGAAAGCAAGAGCGCCAGATTCACCATACATGAGGGCCAACTCCTTAGAAAGTCATTCTCGGGCCCCTATCTCAAGTGCACAAGCCTAGAGGAGGCCCAAAGTGTCCTCGCCGAACTCCATGAAGCGAATATGGGAACCGTGCTAGGGGATGCAGCCTTGCACACCAGGTGATCACTGTTGGATATTATTGGCCGAACATACGCACCGATTCGGCTACTTATGTGAAGAAGTGCGATAGCTGTCAGAGGTTTGCTCACGTCTCACACCTCCAACCAAAGCGACTTCATTCCATCCTCATACCCTGGCCCTTCATGAAGTGGGGAATGGACATTGTGGGAAAGCTACCAACTGCACCCGGGCAACGAGTGTTCATGTTAGCCATGACAGACTACTTCACCAAGTGGATCGAAGCCGAAGCCTTCGCACAAGTCAGAGACCAATAAATTAAAGCTTTCATCTGGAAGAATGTCATTTAAAGGTTTAGAATGCTGAAGGAGATCATCACCGACAATGGATCCCAGTTCATCAGCTAAGGCTTCAGGGATTTCTGTGACATGTGGGGAATAAAACTGAGTTTCCCAACCCCCCGCAACCCCCAGTCTAATGGCCAGGCCGAGTCATTGAACAAGACCATCATTCAGACATTAAAGAAGCAGTTACAGAAAGCTAAGGGTACATGGGCAGATGAGCTACCTGGAGTCCTTTGGTCATACCGAGCCACGGCTCGCTCGTCAACGGGCAAGACCCCCTTCTCCCTCACATACAATTCTGAAGCAGTCATCCTAGCCGAAGTATCAGTCCCATCCACCAGGCTCCAATGGGCGGACGAGGAATCAAACAACTGGAACCTTTGCCAGAACCTGGACACCATCGACGAGCTACATGAACGGGCAAGCATCCGTAATGCAATCTATCAGCAACAGGCCGCTTGACACTACAATCGTAACGTGAGGATCCAAACTTTCAAGATAGGCGACTGGGTCCTCCGCAAGGTCTTCCAAAACACCAAGGAGATCAACTCTGGTAAACATGGCCCCACCTGGGAAAGCCCCTACAAGATAATCAAAGAAGCAGGAAATGGCACTTACAAACTCCAGACCTCCCAGGGCAAAGACATCAGTAATAGTTGGAATGCCGTTCACCTTAAACGCTACTACTTCTAGGTGAACTACTTTTTTCTATTTGTCTTTTTTTATTTTAAAAGGATGAGTGGGCTTATCCACCTCCTCATAGACAGTCGGCCTCATGGTCAAATATTAATGACGTATTATTAAGAAATTTTTCGTCTTCAAATCGACTCTGGTCGATCAATTGTTTGTAACACCTTTAGATCGGCCCTGCCTGATCCACGAAATGGCACCATCGAATCGACCCTGCTCGATTCACGATTACACCTTCAGATCGGCCCTGCCCGATCCATGAAATCGCACATTCGAATCGACCCTGCTCGATTCACAATAACACCTTCAGATCGGCCCTGCCCGATCCACAAACTTGCACCTTCAAATCGGCCTTGCTCGATTCACGATAACACCTTTAGATCGACCCTGCCCGATCCATTAATAAACACCTTCGAATCAACCCCGCTCGGTTCACGAAAACACCTTCGAATAGACCTCGCTCAATTCACGAAATCACATTCGATCGGCCTTGCCTGATCTACGAAATTACACCATCAAATCGGCTCAGCCCGATCGACAACTCATACCTTCCAGTCGACCCTGCTCGACCCAAGAATTCACACCTTCGGATTGATTTCATTCAATCTAGGGGACTACGTACTCGGTTAGCCAGATCGAATGAATGGTCCTTACACCTTCAATAAGCAAAGCGCCAGCCTAGCCCAACATAAGACCTACATGCCTTAGCCACTGAGCCACACTAAAGAAACAAACACGACATAGTACATCTACAAGTAAAGAAACAATGAATTCACTCACTCATACATGGAGAAAACATCAAAAGTAAGAGCCGAGTATAATACACACAACCTCAAACGACTTAGTTTAGAGTACAAAAAGGCTTCAAACATCTCAGTTCAGAGTACAAAAAAGGGACACACGCCAAGAAAAAGGGCATCGTAGGCCCCAAAATACAAAGGAAAACTAAGCTAAGTCGCCTCTTCCATCTCTGACTCCGTCGTCATATCT